AAGAGTCCTCTCTTCGCATTAGGTGACCAGAGTATCTGAGCTTGAGCTTCAGTATCAATCCTTTTGGAGTAAATACAATGTGTAAAAAGGCATGGGTATGTGAGCAGAGTAGGATTTCATCTGGAATTTGCTTTCTGTTGTTTTCAAACCCTCCCTTCATCCAGCGGTTCTTGCTTCCTGCTTCTCTTGCAGGGCGCCGGGCATGTTTGGGTGAGCCATTGGCACGAATAGAGCTCTTCATTTTCTTCACCAACCTTCTCCGGTCATTCAAGTACCAGCTACCACCAGAAGTAAATGACGTCAGTTTGGAGGAAATCATAGGGAGCACACGCCAGCCCCTCCCATATCAGATCTGTGCTCTTCCACGCTAAGCCAGCTGATGCTGTTTCCTTCCAGGACCAATTGATGCAGCAAGGGAGAAAACTTCTGAAGCACCCATCTCATCCCTTCTCCCTAAAGCATAGACGTCCTCAACCTTCTTGAAGCCATCTTTGTCCATCTTGCTTGCCCGTTGCTTGAAATGCATAAAGCGAAGCCGCTCAGAAGCAAACGTTTATCAATTCAGGCTTATTAGTAACATGTCGTACAACTGGAATTCTCTAAGTTTGCTTTGGGGTTGCAAACATGTCATTATTAACAGCATCCAGATCATTCAAGGTTTAAGTGCACAAGTTGAACTTGCCACTGAATAGGCAGAGGCAAGATCAGGAGGCAGGTGGGCAAAGACCGGAAGAAGACATGGTGGGAGTGGACAGGTGGCAGAACTGGCACAGGTCCTTTGGAGAAGCCACCCAGGTGTTTAACGTGTGCACTGTCTGTTATATTTACATCTACTTGCTTGGCCTAAATTAGTCAACCTTGTATATTTCTGTTTATCTCCAGTGTATCTGCTTTTTTGCCTTTCTCCCCTGGCTATTATTCCTTAATAAATACTCAATTTTCCATTTGGATCTGACTTTATGGAAGTGTCTGATAAGACCCATGAGAACACATGTACTCTTTGTGCCACAGAGAAGCATAGAAAGGAGAGAAGGGCCCATCCTACTAAGCATAAGGCCCTTACCTTGGGAGATGTTCATCACCCCCCAACCAAGAGTCTATGGTGATAGCTTAGAACAGGATTAGCACGTATGTATCATTATTATCATTATGTTTTGCCCTTTTTCTTTTTTCTTTTGGTTATTGATTAAAAAGCAATAAAATATATAAAAAAAGGATTGCCACTGGAACAGCTTTGTTTGATCAACATTTATGGTCAGGACATGCAGATCTAAGACACTGGGTAAGACACACTGTGTTCTGATTTAACCAACCCCTGTATATATTCATGATCATAATTATATGCAGACGTCAAGGTCATCACTGACATTTCCACAGACCAAACTCCCTTCTATAATTCAGCAAAAATCTGGAGGGGATTTGCTAGCATATTCCATTGACTCTTGTTCTAAACACATAAAGGCCTAAAGAATCATAGGTGTTGTATGATCCTGTTCCCACAACATCCTTAGCTGCATCAGTAGGAGAAGGTGAATGTGTTGTGGAAACACCAGAGGCATCAACTGATCTGGTCAACCAAATCTGACCCCAAAGCGATCCAGTCATACAAAAGAGTTAAACTTGCCCTGCAGAGTCAGCTGTGTTGCAGGAACACCAGTTCCCAACCAATTGATGTTTTGTGCATACTGTGGTCTTCCACGAAGAAAAGGTAGGGAGAAAGAGCAGCTAAACACAACCTATAGGCTATAATGGCTAATCCACACACCCTCTGTTTGTCTGGCCAATGGGTCATGAAGCATTGCCAGTAATTCCCTGCTATAAAGCGACAACAGGTGTTTCTTGAAACAATGTTTTCCAAATGGAGATTACTTTACTCCATTTAACTAATGGAGTAATTAGTTAATGGAGATTAACTAATTACTCAGTTAATTAGTGTGCTGCATGGCAATTGGAAAGGAGATTTAACTGGGTTTAACATGTGTGAACAGCATGTAAGTCACTTTTTTCTCTGGATATCAGTTGTGGGTTGGGGCAGACAGGTGGGGGGAAGAACCACAGTAATTTGAGGACTGATGGTTTTGGAATTCCTAGCAAATTAACAACAGAATATAGATAAACATTCAAAGTCAGAAATTGGTTATCTGTAATACTTACATTGAAGTGTTACAAGAAGCAAGATAGGGAGAGTACTGATGCTTCTGAATTTAGGTGTTGGAGAAGACACCTGAGATGACTGTGGACAGCCAAGAAGACAAACTGATGGATCATTGAACAAATCAACCCAAAGTTCTCCCAGGGGCACAAATGACCAGGCTCAAATCATCCTACTTTGCACACATTGTGCGAAGACCCAGCTCTCTGGAGAAGGCTCAAATGCTGGGAAAGGTGGAAGGAAAGAGAAGAAGGGGACGATCTGCAGCAAGGGGGATGGACTCAGTTACAGTGGCAATGAGGGCACTGTTGGCCGATCTGAAGGATCAGGTTAGAGATAGATCATCATGAAGAAAATCTATCTATATGGCCACTAAGAGTCAACAACAACTTGATGGTACATATTCAATCAATCAATCCATCAGTACTTACATTTACTACCAGAAGGCAGAATACAACCAGTTTGGTTCTATTTGGAACTCAACAAGTGTGTGTGTGTGTGTGTGCGCGCGCGTGCGTGCGCGCTGTCCTTCCCTTTGTCTGAAGTATCTAGTATTCTGCTATATACTTCATGTCATCTGCTCATAGACTGTATGCATTTCAGTTGAAGTTGAATAATCTCCTAACAGGGTCATTTCTTCTAGAAGAATAAGGTGAGCTACTATGAATAGGAGATAGAATGACTTTGGTGCCAACTTTGGTGCCAACTTCTAAGGCTCTTTTCTCAATAACTGCACAAGGGAGCCTGGGACAACTTCTCTGAAATTCTGCTCCCTTTTTCATGCGCAGAGAGGGAGGAAGTGATCTGGCACTGAAAGAAAAGGACTTGGGGAGGGAGGGGCCCAATGAAGTGACGTACTGGCATGCTGGCTGGGGAATTCTGGGAGTTGAAGTCCATACATTTTAAAATTGCCAAGTTTAAAAAGCCCTGGCTTGGGTGAGCAACAATAATATTGAATGAATGTGAAAAAAGAAAGCCACAGTGATGCCGACAGCAGTTGGTGCACTTGGTCAAGTCATCTGGAGAAGGGACACAATAGGAATGGAGGGAATCTCAGCTCATCAATTACAAAAAGTTGCATTATGGTACTTGAAACTGAGCCTCTAGTACAACGCCATCTTTAACTATCTTAGACCTTGTCTTGACTCAGAACAGTCAAACACACTCAGCAGACTGTGTGTAAATAGCAATAATGACAACAGCACAGAAGGAGAAGAGGGAAGAAGACAAGGGTTCTTTTCGATTCACAGTCTTCTTAGCCACGAGTTCTAAAATTTTGCTTCTTGGGCCAGAATCTGAAAAACCTGGATGTTTTGGCTTCCACATTATGTAGGGTAACTGCAGCCACCAAGGTGGGGTTCACACAACATGCTTAACCAGGTCAGGGAAAGACCTAGTGGCTGCATTCGCACAAGATGCTAAGTTTGATCAGTAATAACATTGGTTGATTTTGGGTGAATTCGAATGTTGTGGGAAGCCACCTATTTAGCTAGTTTCTACTTCAATGACTCAATGTAGTGTGCCAACCCAGAAAATGGGTGCATTCAGTAACTGCATTAAGCGTGTGTGAATAGTCATAGCAAACTACGGTTTTTGCGGCAGGAAAAGCTTTTCTGTTACTCCTGTAATTGTAATAATGCCGTCTTCTGTTCCCTTTCCTTTCCTTTCCTTTCCTTTCCTTTCCTTTCCTTTCCTTTCCTTTCCTTTCCACGCTTAATGCAGTTACTGAATGCACCCATTTTCTGGGTTGGCACAGGAAAGGAAAGGAAAAGGAAAGGAAAGGAAAAGGAAAGGAAAGGAAATGATTTGATACCAAACAACCAGGGTATTCGCAGAGTATGGTCAAAAAAATCAAAATGGCAGCTACATTTTTAAAGTTGGGCGCAACAGAGCTTTGACTGCACCGTTGTGACCAGCATCTTGACTTTTTTGACCACACCTTGATCATAACAGTACAGCTTACCAACTTAAAGGACAGAAAACTTACTGGATAAGTCAAAGGAGGGCAAATGCTTAGGCCTGCTTTCTGCTCTAAATGTTATCAGCTTGGAACTGACCAGCTGTGCAAATGTTCCCAATCAACATGCGAGAATATCAGAAATCACCCGGCCCAAAAAACTCTTCTTTTTGCAGATTGTGATTTCACATTTTCATTTTTTATTTCAAAAGACATTTCAACAACACCTCACTTACTGAAAAACAAAAGGAAACAAAAAAACAGGGTTTCAAAATCTCATTTTAAAAAACGCTCTCTGAAGATACTTGGGGAAATAAAACCAGTACTGGATGAACTACCGTTTCGTGCAGAGGCAGAAGAGCAAAATAATAATCTGATTTAATTTTGCCTGAAATCACATTTCTTCCTATCGCTTTTACAAGACGCTTCCAACCCTCCTGCTCATTTTTTCCTGCCAGAAACGCCATAAAAATCTTCCCCATCCCATTGAGTTCAATCCTTTCTGCAAATAAAGTACCTTGAATGGCTGCACTTTAAGCTCCCCCACGGTCTCAATTAACTGGATAACAAAGGGCAAAATGGGGCAGTGTATTTTGGCAGGGAGAGGAAAAGGACAACATTATTTTTTCTTTCCAGATGTTCTTTGACCAGTGAATGTGACTTTCATTAGGTAACAAAAACAAGGAAGACGGAGAGAAGAGGAAGGCAAAGCAAACGGAGGGGTGGATTGGAATGGAGGCCAAAAACAGGTCAAGGAAACACATCCTACCTAGGGGAAGCCATTAACACTCTTCTTTCTGTGTTTCCAACACCCATCAGTTCAGCTCATCTCTGTGCAATCGCTTTCTCGGGGAACATCTGAATGTAAAGGGTTAGGGAGGGGACAGAGAATCAGGGAGATTTAGTGGTATAAAGAAGCCCTTCTCTGCAGATCTGCCATGCTGTCTTCAGCTTCAGTCAGGTTCATGTGGGGAATTTAAGTTGCTCAAAGTGTTGCTTGGCTACACCTTGTAGCCGTTCAGCATCCATGGTGAGGGATGTTTGTTTGCAACTACAGCACGAGAGGAAAAATGCGATATAGAATGAAAACAGAGAATCCAGTGGAGAAACAGTGCACCAATTCAGAAGCATCGGGAGAGCCAGTGTCTCCGGGCTCGGAACCTGGTTTACTGAACCTGGTTTAAAGCTGAACCTGGTTTGGAGCAGACTTATGATGTGATAAGGAGTCCAGCACAAGCCACAATGGTGTCATTGTGCAAATGATGCAACTTATGTTCTTCATAAATTATGTAATTATTTAAACTGCAGAATTCACATCATTTACATGATGACATCAGGGCACACATGGTGTCACTCACCCTGCCTTGACCACCTCATGCAGACACCGATGTCTGTAAGTCACATAAGCACCTAAAACGAAATTTATGCCCTATATTTATTGCTCTCGAGCCCTACAGAACAGAGGAACCCAGCACTGGTGGTGCGCAAAACACATTAATTCTGAACTCTCTTGAATGTAGAACGTCTCTCCTTGAACTGAAAACAGCTGACTCACATTTGAACAGAACCTTTTGATCATTTAGGATGTGTTTCAAGCTCAAACCATCTTTCTTGCAAGCTCAAAGCACTCCATTTTGAGCTCAAAACACTTCCAGCATGATCAAAACATCCTGTTTCAAACTCAAGATGGGGCGGAGGAAAAGAATTTAAAGAGTTCAAATTCAAAACCTTCTGGATACCCAAGAAATCCAATTGTTGCACATTCCAACTTTTGCTTGTTAAACTCCTTTCTGAAATTTGCAACCTTCCCTTCTTTTCCCATCAATTTTCATGGGTAAACTTATCCTTCTGCATAAGTAGTGATCGCTACAAAAATACAAGCACATGCACACACTGTGAGAATATTACCACCACAGAACAAAAACCAATTTGAACACAGCACGTGTACATATACTTTTCACTGATATTTAAAGGTGGCTGAAATGAGAACAGAAAGGAACAGATATACAGGCAAAACCAGGAAGAGACTCCGGAGATTCCAACATCAGTTGAAGTTCAGGCGTGTATTTTTTAAAAAATGGGAGACAAACTTGAACTGGGATGTCACTCAGTTTGTTTCTACAGAAAAGTTGGCTAAGAGTCATGGATGTTCCTCTAACCCAAGGAAGCTCCTAGATCCAACATACATTTGGAATAATTCCAATTTAAACAAGCTTTGCTTCCTTCTAAAGGTCTCTGTTGTTTTCTCCTGCAGCAAACCCACTGATTCCAAATTACATTTTCATCACAGCTTTGAAAGAGACCTGTAGAAACCAGGGGGATGGGAAAGGAGGAGATAAAAACAAACAGTTTGGGTAAGCCACCAAGAAAACAAATAGGTTATCTACTTCAGGAAGTTGTCTCAAAAAGACAGGAATTTAGATACTAAATCCAAAAGCTTGAGAAACTGAGAGAACTAGAGCTTGTCCAAAAAAAATGAGAACCAAGAGAGTTCCTAAAAAATTGATAATTAGAGAAAAGTAACATTGGGGTTTTAGGGATGGATCTAAGTGGGATGCAGAAGGATATTCAGTGTAGAGTTTAGTCCCTTTGTCTAGACCAGTGTTTCTCAACCTTGACAACTCCCAGAATTCTGGGAGTTGAAGTCCACACATCTTCAAGCTGCCAAGGTTGAGAAACACTGGTCTAGAAACTTAGAAGGAATCAGGGGTGTCCACAGGATAAAGGCTTTGGATCCTCTTGACTTTTTGGACCATACTCTGTGGACATTCTCGGAAGAGGCAGAAGGAACAGGACATTTTTATCCTGGTGAAAAGACAAGCAAGGAGAGATATGGTAGCACTTTTCAAATACCTGAAAGGATGTCACATTGAATAAGCTCAAGAGCTATTCTCTCTCATTCCAGAGGACAGGACATGGAAAAATGGATTTAAGTTACAGGAAGGCAGTTTCCTGTTGGACATTGAGGGAAACGTCCTAGTAGAAAGAGCAGGTTGGCAGGGAAACCCATGATCCCAAGTGGGGGTGGGCTCCCCTTCAATGGATGTGTTCAAGTAGACGCTGGATGGTCATTTGACAAGGATGCTTCAATTTGGATTCCTGCGCTAAGTAGAGAGTTTGGGGTTCAACGGCCCCTTTCAACTTTATGGTTCCCAAATCCCATGTTTACATAAGAAGCTGGGCAAATCAGATAAAGACCCAGCAAATGCTGTAAGCTTGGCTCATGCTAATCTGGGTTAACTTCTTGTGGCTTGCTTAGGGTTCAATGCACTATGCTGGGGTGTGTGTGTCAAAAATGTCAAGATGGTGGCCACAACCATATGATCAATGTCCTGCCCTTTTTATTATATACATTGCAACTTCTTGATGTTTTTGACCCCTCCCTGTGGACACTCCATACAGTACAATCCCAGAAAATCAGTGACTTCCACCACCTGTGGAAGCATGTTCTGAGAAGGTAGCTTCTGTGGTGCTTCTCTAACATTTATTGTCACTCTGTCTTTTGCCTCCTATCCAGGCAGATGTTCTGCTGTTGGTAAGAAAAGGATTCACTACCATGAAATGCTACCCAAAATCCGAAAGGAAGTTCATGGGCATTTCAGAAAAACCTGAGATCACTTTTGGACTAAAACCCCTGAATGAAGTCTCTGTAATTTAGGCCTTGGGATACTTGCAAATCAGAGTGACATAATGGAAGTAGTTTAGACCAGTGTTTCTCAGCCTTAGCAACTTTAAGATCTATGGATTTCAACTCTCAAAATTCCCCAGCCAGTATGCTGGTTGGGAAATTCTGAGAGTTGAAGTTGATAGTTGGGGAATGCTAGCTGGGGAATTCTGGGAGCTGAAGCCCACACATCTTAAAGTTGCCAAGGTAGAGGACTGCATTGTTCTACGCAATTACCTAGTTAGCTTAGGGGCGTCTGATCTTATGGGCCTCAGATCAAACAGCCAAGAGGGTAGATAGCTTATGGTTCAATGTGTTATGGAAATTCAACCACTGTCTTACCAGTATGTGGTGGGAACCAGAACAGCACATCTGTTTATTTATCTGGGCATGTTGTGTGAACATCTTGCCCAGGTTTAGGGGGTGATGTGAATCTGACCCAAAAGAGTAGGTCAATACAACCAAAAAGCAAAAAAACACTGCTGTACTAGATTCTCGTCCAGGGCAAGGAGCTGGGCTACATGATCTCAAGGTCCTTTCAACCCTTACCTTCTATGATTCTAAGAAGGAACTCGGAATGACCAGGAATACTTTCTGCCTCGCCTCCCCCCACGCTGCACTTCTTTCCTGGATGTTTTATCTGACCCAACAAAACAAACTCTGTGATCTTCCTCATAAGCTGTGTCTGCTGGCCAATAGGGAGATTTAAATTTATACTGCTATTTGAGTATTTAAAAAGCCTATTTTATTGCTTTTTAAATTAAAAAGAAATTGGAAGTGCAAAAGAGAAGTCAACTGAGAGTCCTGAAGGTAACAGTAAAAAGGATGGCTTTTAAAAACTGGCTTACTGTGACCAGACAGAAATCAGTGTATTCATTCATATATCATGATGCACTTACAATCAGAACTGCTTGGAAAATATGCAGCAGGATCGTGTTCCCTTAGAAGTTACCATACATCTTGATTTGGTCATTCTGTGGTTGTATTGTGGGAACCCAGCTTGTTCAGTTAGCTTATGGTTCAATATTTTATGAAAACTGGGAATATGGGTCAATTCAGTCACCAGGTTAAGCCTGTTGAGTAAATGCAGCCACTGCACATTTACTCTCTAAGAGATACGCTGAAAATTGTAGCCAGACTCCTAAAAGACGGTTGGCTGCTTATCTACAAATATTTTTTTTTCTCCAAAGCCAATTGCTTTAGTGGGCTTCTCTTCAGCTGGGTGTGACAAATCTCTAGTCTCTTGAATGGCAAAACTGCCCTCTAAAGCATCTGATAATGTGACCCCATCCTAAAAAGCCTGAATGGATGGAATTAGCTTTCATTTCCCCCCAAAAAAACCTCCCCTATTACTCTTTTAGCCAATGGCATTACTAGTGAAAACTGGACTGTGAAGTAGGAAGGCAGATTTAGCAATCATATGTTTGATTGGCTGCTTAGACCCAAGGCATAGCTGTTGGTATATTTTCCTTGATTAATCAAAACAATAGTTGGTCTTATCAAAGAGCCTTTCGATTATCTTCTACATTCTATAAAACTGAAAAGAGAGAAACTAAAAAGAGGAGAAGGAACAAGAAGGGCCTGCCTAACAACATCCAAACAGGAAGTCCAGATGACCTTTCTCAAATCATCCTCTCTTCAGTGAACTCTGAACATGTGCTGAAACAAAGATCTGAGACAAGCAGATAGTAAGTAACTAGTTTAGCTGGTCCTGCTGTATTTATTTAGAATATTGTAATTCTTGCCTTCTCTGGTTTTTCTGATATTTCTCTTTCTGCCATAAGCTCCTTCTCATGTTTAGAGATTTGGCTTTGTTCATTTAATAAGAGACATTTTCTTTAAAGCCTTCCCTGGGTGCAACCTGACATGGCTATCCAACTCCCCTCATGTGTTTCAGATTGGCAAAAGGTATATAAATTCTGTATTTCTGGGCTTTTGAGCAGGAAGATTAGAAGTGCTTTGCTTTCTCTATTTTTCCCAGGGTTGGGCTAAAGGGAGAAGTTCTTAACCGAAGGGCTAAAAACTCCACAGATGGACAGACTCAAGTGTGTCAGAAGGTTGAACCTAGCAGAAATGTCTTTTACTTTGGGCCCCTTGAAAGAAGCGGCTTGCCAAAGACATTTAAATTATTCCCCCCTTACAGTTTTTAACATGGTGGCAATGGAGCTGCACCCTTCTTGACATGCCTGTAGCTTCCTTTTCCCCCCTGTGGCTATTTTGATCTTTGCTGCTTTTACATTTTTCTCCTGGGTCAATGACTTCTTGGTTCTTTAATGCTGTTAGCTGCTTTGTTTTCTTTGGAAAGATAAAATCCACTGGGTAGAACGGTACGTTCTGAAATCGAAAAGAAGCTACTTCACAACGGCTTGGACAACAACCAACAGAGAAAGAGCTCACCTCTTGTAATCTTTGTCCCAAAGTCTCCTTGCTCCAAATGCTCTTCCTGTATAAAAACAAACACACTATTAGAAGAGCCAAAAATATGGAACGGGGCCTATCATGGGCTTCCCTGGAGGATTCTGTAGGGCTTCTGGGTTTCCTTCACTACTAGCAGCAGAAAAAGCACATCTGTTCCTCACAGAGCTGAACCCCGTGCAAAATCTCAAATGAGCCACATTGTGAGCAAGAACCAGATCGCCTGCAGTTCTGAAATTCTTGGGAAATCAGATGTAGGAAGTGGGCAGGTTTTAAGAGCATTAAAGGTGATCTCTTAGGGATGTCACTGCCCACGGTTCTACATGTCTTTTCTTGGTTTTGCCCAGAAGAAAACTGAGTTCAAATGAGGAATCATGAGAAATACCTCAACTAAGAGTTGAAAAGGGCCAGTGAGGTCCAATCTCCTGCTCAGAGGTGGAATCAAATGGGGATTTCCTCAGATATGTCCATCTACAGCAGAGTTTCTCAAGCTTGGCAACTTTAAGATGTGTGGATTTCAACTCCCAGAATTCCCCAGCCAGCATGCTGGCT